GCACATAAATGCTTTTTATGCCCTTTCTATGGCTTGCCACAGAGGGCACAGCAAAGATTTGGAAAACAGGGACAATGGATGACTTGCACAAGAACAACCTCAGAAGATTTAGACCCAGATTCATATTTTTAACACTTTCAGAGAATTCACAATTTTGCTTACAGTCTCTAAGGCAAAGTGAGCAGGTAGCAGAGAGCAGAATTCCCAGGACATGATGTTGCAATCACTACAGTGGGTGCTTTTATTAGAGATGGGTGGTGAAAAGCAGCACAGCTTCATCAAACTCAACATTTACCAAGGATATGACCCACAAATTCCAGTACCAAAAGTGCAAATTTTTTTCATATTCAAGTACAGCTAAGTACTTGAGGCAACCGAGGCACCAGTGAATGCAAATGGAATTCCCTAGCTGTGGTCTAAAAGAAAAATATGGGTTTAGCTTTCATGAAACTCAGGAAAAAAAAAACCAAAAAAACAAAAAAGCAAAGCAGCTGATCAGTCATGTTACATATAAATGACAGTTTACTTGTGATACTAAAAGGGGATTTTAGCTTCATTAAAAACAAAAACTAACTACTATGAAGGAGATGAGTGAACTATTACAACACTGAAAGACTTAAAAATGATACCCCAGGAGATAACATTCTGAGAATAAAGTGAAAGAGCTCATATAAAATACAAAAGGTGTGTTGTAAAGAAGGATCAGAAGGGCAGACTTTGAGCTTCATCCAGTCATAAATCAAAAGCTTGTTCTCCATCATTCTTGTCTATGAGGTCAGCTTTGATTCCCAAGCTACAATTCCCAAAGGATGGAGGTATTTCTATTGGCAAGTATGTGTCTCTCTTCCCCCGGGCTGGCTCTGCCAGCCCTGCTGTCACCATGGACTGTCATTATCTCAATCTCTTTACTGCCCAGGATTGTTCCGTCCTGGAGCCATAGGGAACTATCACAGGGCTGCGAGAGGAAAACCCATTCAGAAGACTGAGGGCATTTGCAACAGATTAATTGACAAAGAAGTTTATCAAGCCAGGCCATCTGCAATAGTTCAGTGATTCCCCTTCACAGGGACCAAATGCTTTAGCACTCCAGGTGACATGTCAGGGATACAAACTGTTCCACAAAATAAAAGTGTTAAAACACAATTCAAAAACTCTACCACCAAAGAATATAATATCAATTCTCTATCCAGTCATGTGCTTCATATATTTTGCATTTGAGTGACTGCAGCAATAATCTTTGAGCTTTAGCTCAGGCAGACTGTGCACACTCACAAGAACAGTCTGTGTAAACAGGGCTCCCCACCTGAGCACTGGAGACTGGTTCAGCACCTCCATTTGCAGTCAGGCATCTCTGCGTGCACAGATGAAGGGCAGACACTTCCCAGACTGAAATAAACACAAAATACATTTAGTATGTGGTTTCCCCAACCTTCCTGTAACATACTAAACCAGATAACTGTTTTCTTAAATCGGAAAAAAAATTCATTTCAAAAGACTTCTTGGATATTACTCAACACACCAGACTTCTACAGTGTTCTTGCACAGTGAGTTCTATTATTTGCTCATTAGTACCATAAAGGTTTCACTTCAGTAATTCTCACTTACTATAGAGCGACGTTGGTGTGTGGTGTAAAACCTGATAGTTACTGCGAGTATCTCCAACAGAGATAACATTTACACAGAATAATACAGACATCTGATCCCGTATGTTTCTAGAGATAAAAACCTTCATTCTTTTGAAGACGATTCGTAAGGGAAAGGCTTCGATGGGGGTAAAACCTAAATTGTTAATACAAGATCGCCCTCTACTGTTTAGGAGAGAGGAGAACGACGGAGGACCGCAAAGCCTGGTTTGGGCTGGAAGGGACCTTAAAGCCCAACTCGTTCCACCTCCTGCCAAGGCAGGGACACCTTCCACTAGCCCAGGCTGCTCCAAGCCCTGTCCAGCCTGGCCTTGGGCACTGCCAGGGATCTGCTCCACCTATTGTTTTTTATCATCCATAAACAACAACCTGGAAAAGTAAAATGATTCCTTGTAGGATGTTGTGGTGATATGACTGGTGGAGGGCTCCCAAAGAGACCTGGGACACCACATGAATTAATTAGGCTTACTAAAACTTCCAGAAACTGAGATATGAAAGGAGAAGTGACATGTCTTTGGCATCACAGATGATTGTCTGGAGTTATCAGTTACCAATGTTCTTTCTTCAAATTATTTTGATGATTTGGACATTTCAGATCTGATTTTATATCTCCTTGCAGGGAAAGCTCACACCTATAGAGCTTGTTTATTCAAGGTTTGTCTTTACCTAAGAGGATGTGCCTTCAATCTCCTCCCCTCCTTGTTTGACACCACTTCCCTGGCTGTCTCTGCCACACATTCACATTCATTCCAAGCTTTCACCTGATGTAAATCAATTATTTATTTTGTCCATGAAACCTGAGTGTGGAATGGCAGACAGAAGATGCCACATGGGTGCAGCACTCCACTGTCCCCAGAGATGAGGGCTCTTCCCATGACCCAGGGACAGCAAAGCCAGGTTAGGCTTGGCTGCACTGGTCTGGGATTTCAACACTTTACTGGTGTGAAAAGTTGTGAACTCGGGATGTAAAGCTCTTCCCTTTGCTTGGTGCAGGCAGACACAAGAGCCAGGTGTACCCAGAGGAACACCTGACTGCAGTTCCTGGCCCAGCCAATTGCCTAAAAGCCCAATTAAAATTCTGATTAAATCATACCTTTCACCAACTAAATTGTTCAAATTACAAATTTTAACCTATGTCTTCTCTCCACTTCACAGGCCCTCAGTCTATAAACTGACAAAAACTTCCAGAGTGTAAAGCCTTGATGTTGATGCTCTCCTTTTTATATGTCAAAAGGACACTTTTTTGGCAGAAAACTATCTTTCCTACAAAATACACAGCAAACAATTTGATGTGCTGGGCAACAGCTCAATTTAAGAAATGAACAGACCACCCTGATAGGTAATCAGCCAATAAACACAGTATTTGTCATTTAATTCTGGAAGATGCCAAGGGTAATAAGGAAATTCACAGGACTTCCTACTGGATTTGTGGCTCTTTTTTCCAACTTTTTTCCTAGATCTAGTTCAAATTTCACACATACTATCCCTATTTATTTCTGCCACAGCCATTATCACCATTTTCCATGCAATACCATTTTGATTTCCACTACATGAATGCACCCAAATTCCTGAGGATTCTTTTGATCTTTTCAAAGAATGACCAGGAGCATGACCATTGCTGTTCTTTTTATATTTATTTATCAGCCTCACGCTGCTGCTTCCATAAAGCTGCAATCCCCAGACTTCAAGTCTGCAATTACTTTCTCCTGAACAGGCAAAAATCAATAACAGGAGGTAAAAACCACAGCAAATTTCACATTTTGATCAGAGTACATGTGTTGCACATAATATCTAATGGGACCACAGCTAAAAACAAAAGCAAACAACATACCTGCTCCTTTGTGTCTTTCTGAGTTATTAAAATCATGTTTGCAGCTACAGTGACTGGCTGTCCCCACGCTGCCTCAGTCCTTAGGATGTATTTCTTCCCATAGCTCATCATAGTCTGCAACATCTGGATTGCTTTAATTCCCCATTATGCTCAGTAAGGTAATTTTTGTACCTCTGCTATCATATTCTGAGTTTTAATAAACTTGTCTTCTCCTTGATCCTCTCATCATCTCTTTCTTCATTCCCTGAACCCATCCTAAATCCTGCCATTTCAAGCAATTTGCTCCTACAATCCTTCTCAGGCAGGTTTCAATAAAGCTTCCAGCTCTGGAACCAAAGTTACTAATGTAGGACTAAAATTTAAAATCTCCACACCTGGAGATCTTGCACTGCTCCTACTGGGAATCCTGCCAAGCTCAAACCATTTGAGCCCAGCCATTCCTTTGACTTGGAACATCTTTGGAAGCCTCCATGGCACTGACCTCTAAATTGATGCCAAAACTCACTGTTTGTGACTGGATCCTTCACAGCTCTATGTGTGTCTAAGCACAGCCTGTAGAAATGCCTTAATACAATTTAAAAAATAAAATCCCACACTGTTCATTTATGTATTTCTTCTTCTTGATTAATGGCCAGAGTTACTCCCAGAATAAACCAGAAATTCTGCAAAAAAAGATCTACTGGAATGCCCTAAGCACAGGCCGTAGCCCACCTCTTAGAAAGAAGGAGCCAAAAGTATTTTTTCTTCCCTGGAGCTAGTTGTGTTCAGATAAAAACTCCATGAAAGAGCCTCAAAAAACTATTTTTACAGCACGATTGAAAGCAATACCATGACAAGAATATTTGACTTCAAGTTCATGGCTTAAAAGAGCAGAAATAGCTCATTTTCTAATGTTAGAAAGTCCTGTGGTCTCTGCACATGGAATTGACCACCCAAAACCCCACAAGGCACCTGCTCAAGATCATCCCTGCATCCCTGTGAGTGAAGGCTCACATCCTTCTCCATGTTTTATCATGGAATCAGGGAACGCTTGGGGTTGAAAGGGAATTTAAAGCCCACCTAGTTCCACCCTCTGCCATCAGCAGGCAGGTTGCTCCAAGCTGAGCTTTGAACATTGCCAGGGACGGGGCAGCCACAGATTCTCTGTGCCAAGGCCTCACCACCCTCACAAGGAAGTTTTCTCGCCAATATCCCATCTAACCCTGCCATATATCTTTGTGAATTCATTCCCCTTGCCCTATCACTCTTAAGAACCACTGGGATTACCAGGAATGGGATAGTGAATGATGAACACACCCCCGAGAGGGATTTTAAATGGAATTAGGGGGGGGGGTCCGCCCACGCCCCTCCCTCACGGAGCCCTCACGGAGCCCCGCCCCCAGGCTCGAGACCGCCCCCTCCCGCCTCGCCTCCTCACCCAATGAGCGCAGAGATCACCGCATCTATTTGCATATTAAAGACCGCTCTTCTCGCTGCTCACCAATCAGAGCGCTCCTCTCATGAAACCGGAGGGAAGGCCTGCTCGGCTTTCCACGCGCCCGCTGAGCCGCAGCTTCCCATTGGGAGACGGGCCGGTGGGCGGGGCCAATTTGAACGGGCGGCGGCGGGGAGCGGCGCCATGATGAAGCCTCTGAGGGATCGGGATCGGGATCGGGATCGGGATCGGGATCGGGATCGGGATCCTGGTGCTATCGAGGGTCCCGGCCCCACGATGAGCTCCCCGCAGCCCACTGCGGCGCCAGCCGACGGCTTCGCCTCCTCAGACGATGAAGCCGCCGAAGAGGACCTGAGCCCGCCGCTCCACATCTCCTGGTGAGGGGACGCCCGCGGGATCCTTTCTCTGAGGGAATTGTATGAAATCCCTATCCTGAAACAGCATTAAATCGGTATCCTGAGAAACAAGAGGGTTTTCTCTCCGCAAGCAAAGCCCGAGCCGGGCTCTGGACACCTTCCAGGCTGCGCTGCTGGGGAAGTGTCAGTGGGTGTGGGTGGGCTGGAAGGGGCCAGATCGGGATCGGGATCGGGATCGGGATCGGGATCGGGATCGGGATCCTGGTGCTATCGAGGGTCCCGGCCCCACGATGAGCTCCCCGCAGCCCACTGCGGCGCCAGCCGACGGCTTCGCCTCCTCAGACGATGAAGCCGCCGAAGAGGACCTGAGCCCGCCGCTCCACATCTCCTGGTGAGGGGACGCCCGCGGGATCCTTTCTCTGAGGGAATTGTATGAAATCCCTATCCTGAAACAGCATTAAATCGGTATCCTGAGAAACAAGAGGGTTTTCTCTCCGCAAGCAAAGCCCGAGCCGGGCTCTGGACACCTTCCAGGCTGCGCTGCTGGGGAAGTGTCAGTGGGTGTGGGTGGGCTGGAAGGGGCCACTGAGGCCAGCGCTGCTCCAGCCGCCCTGCCCAGGCAGGGTCACCCACAGCAGGAGCCGAGGATCCCATCCAGGTGGGTTTTGACTGTTTCCAGGGAAGGAGACTCCACAACTTCCCTGGGCAGCCCGTTGCAGGCCTCTGTTCTTTACTCACAGGGTGGTGATGCCATGGCACAGGGCAGCTGTGGCTGCCCCTGGATCCCTGGAAGTGTTCCAGGCTAGGTTGGACAAGGCTTGGAGCAGCCTGGGCTGGTGGAAATTGTCCCTGCCCATGGTAGGGGATTGGAACAAGATGATCTTTAATGTTCCCTCCAACCCAAACCTTTTGTCACCCTCAAAGTAACATTTTTCCTCATATTCACTTCCCATGTTTCATTTTGTGCCTGTTGGTCCTCATTGTCCCACCAGACACTGGTGAAAAGATCTGGCCTCACCTTCTTGACACCCCCTCCAAAGACATTTATATATTTAAATAATTGAAATCTTCCCTTCTGCTTTTTATTTATTTTACTTTTTATTTTCTAATAGGTTGTCTTTGTCTCCTGTCTACTCTTCAGAGTTCCTGGGATTATGTTCCCTTCCAGGTAAGAAGCATTCACTGAAATCTGCAGGCATATTTGAAAGCTGAAGAGGGGTAATACTTTGTACCACAAATTTCTGTGTTGTGAGTGACTTCTTTTGTAATCTACCCCTGGAATAAGGGTTTTGGAAACACCAAAGCTAATCTAGAGAATATCTTAATGCAAGATCACGTTTTTTAGTTGAAAAAATAAACATATAAACTTTGTCTGCATTTTTAACTATCAAAACTGCAGCCATGGTGAATCTCCACTCAACTCTTAAGTGATCTTTATTCACCCCTTTTATTTGTTGGATGATTTTTTGTGTTTTGTGGGGGGATTTTATGCTGTATCCTGATTTAAAATATGCAAAACTTTTCATCTGGAAAACACAAAGCACCTTAAAACCTTGGGCAGATTTCTTTAGTTAATCCTATTACATTACAGTATTAAGCAGATAATGGTGTTTAAACTGTCTTCTGCACCAGGGATCTACTTGCAAAAACAGGAACTGTGTTTTGTTCAGGCGTGGCTTTGTTCCTTGCTTTGGTTTGGGGGGGAGGCTGCCTGCTCTGTTCTGCTGCAGCTGCCATCCCATAAATGTCACTTACCCCAGTGGTGATAGATGTTCACAACTTGTTTCAGGTTGCAGGTTTAAGGATATCAGAAGAAACCTTCAGAAAGATGTAGGTGAGTGTTCCTTGTGCCAAGGGCAATTCCATGAATATTCCATGACTATGGAATAAATAGTCAGGATATTTCCAGGCAGGAGCTGCACAGAACCCGTGAGGCATCTTCAGAGCAGCTGGGACCAAGATGAATTACAAGCTTGTAGTCTTCCTTTTTCCCAGAGAAAAGTGAAATTGGGGTAGAAAGGAGGCAATTATGTAAAGATTTGTGCTGAGTATTCATCTGTAAGCACTAAAGAGCAGAGACTGACAGCAAATCCCCACAATGTTTGGGTGAGTCAGGCTTAGGAAGGAGCTCCTGCCTGTGAGGGTGGGAGGCCCTGGCACAGAGAGCTGTGGCTGCCCCTGGATCCCTGGAGTGTCCAAGGCCAGGCTGGATGGGGATTGGAGCAGCCTGGGACAGTGGAAGGGCTGGAATGAGATGGGCTTTAAGGTCCCTTCCTACCCAAACCATCCTGGGATTCTGTGATTTTAACTGGAGATGGGCCAGAAATATTCTGAAGTGGATAGCAGGCTGTCCTGAGTGCTGCTGTGCTCTCCAGTGACACTTCTCTCAGGATTCCCTCTGAACTGAGAAAAGTCCTCTCCTGGATTACCTGAAGGGAAATGTGGGAGAGACTCAGTGGAAGAAAGAATGCTCAAACCAAAACTGCTCACTCCTGTTATCTCAGCCCCAAAGATTAAACAAGAGACTCAGGGCTGTTTATCCTTAAGCTTGATAGGCTTTTGTTTATCTGCAAGTGTCCTAATCTGCTGGCAGGAGAACTGAAGAGCTGTGGGGTCCAGGATGTCTTTGTGCTTTGTACCAGAGGAGAGCTCTCAAAGTACCGAGTACCAAACCTGATGGACGCCTACCAACAGCACGGGATGTGTGTGCACCACCACCCCATTCCTGATGGCAGTGCTCCTGACATTGCCACCTGCTGCAAGATCCTGGAGGAGCTCAGAAGCTGCCTGGAAAATAAGCAGAAAACAATGATACAGTAAGTTCTGGCTGCCTCCCAATCACCCCATGTTCCTGTAAAGGATGCCAGCTCCCCTCCAGCTGTATGAGCAGGGGAAATAGGATGGTGTGAAAAGGCAGTTGCACTCTTTAGGGTTAGTTCATGCTGTGATGTCTGCTTGTTCCTCCTCCTGCAGCTATTTGGAGAGAATTCTTCCTTTCAGAAGATCAGAATATCCCATTTCAAGATTAGAATGTCCTATTTCCCCTTGCTCTGTCCAGCAGGAGTTTTAAAGTGTGTTTTGGGTGGCACCACAGGGTTCCTTGCTCCCAGCCTACCTGGATATCAGGTGTACAGAATGAGTTGGGAGCTAATTGTGACTGCCCCATCCCTGGAATTGTTCCAGGCCAGGGATGGGGCTTGGAACAGCCTGATCCAGTGGAAGGTATCCCTGCTCATGGCACGGGGCGGAATGAAGGGACTCTGAGGTCCCTTGCACTCTATGAGTCTATAACATATCCCTGGACTATTTACCAGGGACTCAGTGGGTTCCAGCAGTGCAAAATTCACTCCTGATTTCCATGAATGGGTTTAAAGGAGTTTATTTAGCTGAGCTCAGAAGAGGGGGGAAGAGCTTTGCAAATTCTGTGTTCCCTGAATGATCTCCCTGACACCTTCCTGTACAGACATCCACCGAGTCCTTGGTCTTTCTGCTGACACAGAACCCTGCTCTTCTCCTCACAACTGTCCTCAAACCCTTAATCTGGAATAGGATTTAAAGAAATTTGAAATTGTCCATCCTCCTACTGTTTCCTGTCCTCCTGTGCTTTTGGGACTGTTAGCAGGTATTAAGGGGAACTTTAAAATTGAAGTTTCCATGGAAAGACACAGAAGGTCTGCAGAATAAATAGGATATATCCCTGTAGGTATAGAAATAGAACATAGAAAATATGTAGAAATTCTTGTTCTGACTTTTTTTTTTACCACTGCTGTTCTTGATTATATTAAGGCAAGAACTGTGTCCATCTATTTATGTGTTGGGGTCCCTGGGTGCTGCAGTTTGCCACAGCTCATTACACCAGATGTTTTCTTTTCTCCCAGCTGTTATGGTGGCCTTGGACGCTCATGCCTTGGTGAGTATTTGTCTCCATGCCTGATTAACCCATCCCACAAACCCACAGAGCCAAATTGCTTCTCTGTGGATGCAATCCAAACTGTCACTGCCAGGAGCAGCCTGGTTAATAGAAAGGACATGAACCAATTCCTCTGCATCTGATTCATCCCAGTGTTGCCCCTTGAAGCTTTCAGGAGCGTTAGTTACTGTGTGTTCCAGAGGAAGGGGTGTGGATATGGCCAGAAGACACAAAGGGGAATTAACTGGGTGTACTGGCACTCATTCCTGAAAAGCCTAGGAATTACGTGCCAGATGCTGCTGGGAAGGCAGGGGGAAAATAGTTTGAGGGTTTTCACCTTTTTACAAAGCCCATAAGCTTAGGCAGCAGCAGCAGGCAGATGGGCCAGTGCCCAGAAATAGGATTCTGCAAGAGATCCAAGAGCTCTGGGACATGGATAGGTTTGCCAGGGTGGTTTTCATGGGACAAATCAGTGGCTGTGTGCAGTCAGAGGTGCCCAGCAGCATTCAGGAGTAAACACTTTCCCCTGCAGTGGCTGCCTGTCTCCTGCTCCAGCTTTCAGACACCCTGGCACCTCAGCAGGTGATCGAGAGCCTCAGGAGCCTGAGAGGATCAGGGGCCATCCAGACCATCAAGGTAAGGGGGCTGCAGCAGGTAATACACAGGTCCAAACACCAGGGAGAGCTCAGCCGTCCCCTCCTTCACTTCCCAGAGATACCTCTGTATTTCCAACACCTGCTCCCTGGGGTTTGAGCTGTTTCCTGCTTTCAAGAAACAGCTTCTCCCAGGAAACTGGTGACTGGACAAGAGGGAAAGGTCTCAAGTTGTGCCAGAAAAGGTTTAAGTTGGATAATGGAGAAGTTTTTTTTCACTGAAAGGGTTATCCAGCCCTGGCACAGCTGCCCATGGCAGTGGTGGAGTCCCCATCCCTGGAGATTTAAAAGCCGTGTGGATGCACTTAGGGATGGGGGGTAGTGCTGGGGGAATGGTTGGACTCAAAGACCTTAGATTTTCCAAACTAAATGATTCCATGATTCAAAATAAAGCAGCTTTGAATTGTGACAACTCCCACCTCTGAGGACCATGTTTTGCATTACCTTGGGGTGATGCATCACCTGTGGCCATTATGGGGAAGCACAGGATCCAAGTCAACATCCATGGAATCTGTGTCTGACAGTGAAAAATCCCAGAGGATGTGGAGTAAGCACACGGAGAACAAATGTACCAGAGGGTGCAGTTTTCATCCAGGGTTATCAAACAGCTTTTTAACACAGGTGGTGCCTCTTCCTAAAGCACAGAGCACTCACTGCAGATCTGGTTGTGCATTTCCAGCAGTACAATTTCCTCCATGACTTCCGGGAGAACCTGGCTGCACACCTGGCAACAGAGGACCCGCTGCTGAGATCGGCATCGCGGTAGCTGATCCTGCCACGGCGTCTGTGCCTGTGTGGAGAACTCCTGGACAAGACACCTCTCTCCTGCCCTTTCCTCAGTGCTACTGCCTCTGTGACACAGCTGCTGCCTTCCAAATCCGTGTGTAAAGTATTGGGATGGGGAAGGAAATCCTAGAGAACATGTGGTATCTTCCCATCTTTGGTGACTTTAATACTCGCTGCCTGAAAAACACGTGTACAAGTGTGTTTGTGTCCATTGCTGTTCTGCTGGGAGAATGGAGCTGGAGAGAAATTCCATCTCTGGAGCTGTTTAAAAACACCCTCACACCATCGGCTCTGCTGTAAAGCAAAGTCAAGTCAAGCTGGAGCACTCACCCCTTACGAGCTCCTAACAACTTGTTGTGAAGTGTCACGGTTCTGCTCCATGTGTTGAGGGGTATTTGGGAAGGAGTCTCCTCATTCCAAAAGCAGGTGGTGTTGCACCACAAATCTGTGACAAAGCCAGCAGGGGGGTTGTAGGTGACTGTGGCAGGAAGACACTGCTGCAGCTGCGTGGGTGAGCTGGCACAGCCCTTCTGCCTGCTGCCAGCACTGAGAGTAAACAATCAGCTGTGGGCTGGCAGGATCTCACAGGAACGGGCCTCTAGCAGTCCCCAGCCCTCCTGATTCACTATATCCATTCAAAGTTCCTGGCTTTGCTAAAGTTCAGGATTTTGATAAAGTTCAGGACCATCTCAAGTCAAAAGCTGGGACAAGACCCCACACAACACCAAGGGCCTGGTGTTGAAGAAGTCCCTGCTTTGTGAACTTCAGAATTTATCTTTTAACATTTGAACTTTGAGCACAATGTGCTTTCTGCAGATTGATTAGTGTTTACTGCCATTCCCCTCCATACTCTAACAGCAAACAGGAACTTTTCCAGTTTCACAGTATAGAATAATTTACAGCAAATACCCTGCCCCATATGTGCTTCAGTGCTTAATCCTTGCAACTAATGGCTTTCAGATATTAAATATTTATCACATGACTCAGCAGGAAGCTTGCTGAGGGCAAGAGAAATGTTCTTTATCTTCTCCATAATCATTTTGCCTACTAGAACTCTAAAAACAACAATCAGGACCACATTTTGAATGCCAAAGGCCTGGTACTCCAGCAAGGCATCACACAAGAGCTCCTCCAACATTCCTGGGAAAGGAGGCTGACTTTGCAGGACAGGGATGGTGTTATCCACACCCCTGGCAGCTGGGAATACCCATCTGCACCCCAGGTCCAGCTGAAGCAGGACAGTGCAAACACTTTGGTAAATATTGCTGGGCCCTTGCAGCTGGAGGGGCTGCAGGAGCAGCTGTCAGTTGGGCTCACTCAGGCCTGCATTGTTTATTCCCGTGTGGAATTTGGCTCAAACCAGCCCAAATGCCAAGGGAACAAGAGATTTGTTTAGAAGGTTGAGGAGAGCCAGGGGCTACAAGCAGCCAGTCTTGTTTCCATAATGGATTAATAAACATACAAACATAAGAAAGGTTTAATGAGCTTTGCTTCCACAGGCTGAAGTCATCTCTTACATCTTTGGAAGAGCCAAGCAGCAGAAAAATAAAAATGAGCCAATAGGAACAATATTCATGAGTTTCCAAAAAAGCCTTTCAAAAATTCTTCGGTGAAAAGCTAAAAATTATGGTTGCACGAGGAAAAAAACAGTCATGGAATGCTGAAGGTTTGAGCAGTAGGGGCACAGGAAATGTGAGAAAATCTATTTTATGTACAAAGCAATAAACTGTCAGGACTATTATTAATTAGGAAAGAGAACTTTAACTTATCACAGTCTGAATTCTCTTACCCCCCAGTATATTTATAAAAACTAGAATCTACCACTCTCCATCCCCTGGGAATCCAAACTTTGTGTGATAATAGCCTAGAAAAGGGGAACATTGTGGAGGAGAAAGGACAGTCCCAATCCATGGAAGGACTTCCAAGCAGAGACCACACTTAGCCCCTGTGACAGGTGACATGAGTAAAGTGTTCATTCATACCCAGCACAAACAAGGGGAAAGGGAGACATTTTCACCATGTCCTCAACAATAAGAGCCACTAAGTGAAGTCTGGCAGAACTGTTAAATGCCATTTTTTACACACAGCAATTCCATTGCAGATTCACTGTCAGGATTGCCCAGAGAAGCTGTGGCTCCTCCATCCCTGGAGTGTCCAAAACCAGGGGTGGAGCAGCCTGGGATAGAGGAAGGTGTCCCTGCCATGGCAGGGTGGAATGACATGGGATTTAATTTAATGTCCCTTCCAACACAAACTGCTCTGGGATTCTGTGATCTTCCAGACCAGGCTACAAAGTGCTCCACAAGCAGCTGAACTGATGGCACAAAAGCCATTCAGAGCTTTTTAAAATGCCAAAGCCCACTCAGGACATCTGTAACAATTATTTCCAAATTTCTCCCTCTTCAGGCAGACACTCAACACCTGCCCTGTTTCATATTCCTTCCCTCAGCCATTGCCACTGCCCAACACCAGTGTTGGAATATCTGGATTTCTGGTGGAACCTAGTGCAGCCACTCATACAATTTTCACTGCCCCTAACACCCAAGAGACCCAAAGTGAACAAATACACAGTTTATGCAAAAAAAAAAAGTTTTTACTAGAACAGGGAAACTCTGCATTGTTCTCCAGCACAGGTAAATGAAAAAGATCCCTAATTATTACTTGTAAATTAAGCAGCTGTTCACAGTCACAATTTACAATGCAATATTTATCTGAAACATCCTTCCATGCCCCATCTGCTATTTACTTCAGGGAAAAAAGCTTCAGGAAATCAGAGCTTCCCTTTTCCAGAGGTAATTAAATTCTGTATTCTATTTTTAAAGGGAATGCAATAATCTACTGTAAAACAACTGATGAACACAGCGAGGATCTGCTGAATTTGTAAACAAAACAAAAGGCACCACATAAAAAAGAAATGTTGCTGAATTTGAGATTTGGTTTTTATTATCATTTATTGCACTAAGGAACAGCGGGGCAGTTTCACAATCTCACCTTCTGCTTTGAAAGAGTCTGTAGTATTTACTACTCTTAAACCCAAGAGTGTTTTCATCATTGGACTTGATAAACGTTGGAGGTTTGTCCATTTGTTAATCAGCACAGACATAAAAAAAAAGAACATTTAAATTCATTCCTCCATGGAAATTCAGCTTCTCCTATCACAATGACACAGGCTCGAGATTAAAGCAGGGTTAGTGTTTGGAGAAGATACAGAAGGCTCTGGACCTATGGATGCACATACAGGGGAAGATTAACCAGATAATAAAAAAATAAACCAAAATACAACTATTTTTGCTTTTGTGTCCATGAATTAATATCCTAAGACCAACATCACCTATGGGCAAAACATACAGCATTCCAGTCATTCCCAAGCACTTGGAGCTAGGGCTGGTTTAGAGTAAAGAGTGGGATACACAAGTCCAAGTGAGCCACTACAAAGCCCATCCTACAGCAAACCCCTAGAGTACTAAGGCTAGTAGTGACCAACACCTACTTGAAGGTTATGGCTGTTCCTTATGGAGTGCAAAGTCAGAACTTTTCAAACCCCAGTCATCTTTATATTAATTTACACATAATTCATTAATTCCAGCGTCCCAGTAAAATATAAGAAAACAGTCTTTCCACAAGTATAAAATGTGGAAATATTTTAAAAATAGGGGAGTCATTGTTTTCTAACTCAATTGTGAACGTCAGGTTCCGGATTTAATCTTGGTCAGAGGTTCTTGTTGTAAAGAATCCATGTTTTTTGTGGCTTTTGCATGCACTTAACTGGAACAAAGCTTGGTGAATGTCTTCTTAAGAGCTCACCAGAACATAAATCATGCTGCAGAAGAAAAAAAAAAAATATATTAAGATGCATCATTTTGATTAGTGTTACACATTTAATTCTAACAGGGTCTATTATAAGGAACAAGTCCATGTGAGACATGTGGATTGTGACTGAAGATTTGACAAAATGACTTCTACTTTTGACTTCAACAAAATCACATTTACATCAAACACTTTCCTCTGAAAACAATGTTTCAGCTTCTTAATTAAAATACCCTGGGATTTATTATATTATGCTTAACAGAAGAAAAATTTTGAGATTTTTAGTCTACAGTCATGGAACAGAGATTCAAAATAGTAATTCTGACCAAATTAGGATTTGTGTTTTAAAGCAGAACCAGGGGTGAATGGGGATTATTTTCAGGAAAGCTGGCACTGTAGGTGATCATACAGATTTCCCAGCATGTTTTGAGTTGGAAGGACTTCACAGATCATCTCGCTCCAACCCCACCAATGGGCTGGGAGACCTTTGGCCAGGCCAGGGTGCTTCCAAGTCCCCTCTAACCTGGCCTGGGACACTTCCAGGGACCCAGGGGCAGCCACAGCTTCTGTAGACACCCTGTGCCAGGGCCTCCCCACCCTCATAGTGAACAATTCCTTCCCAATATCCCATCTAACCCTGCCCTCTGGCAGTGGGAAGCCATTCCCACATGTCCTATCACTACACACCCTTGTCCAAAGTCCCAGCTCTCACAGGCTCCCTTCCAGCATGAGAAGGATCACATTCCTATGGACAGTATTTCTCTCTGCACTGAGCCAAAGCTTCAGACTGAAGAGGAAAACTTACCCATATAGGTAGTAAAAAAAAGACAGAAGGTAGAATGCTAATTTGCACCATCCTTCCTTCTGGCAATAGGCTAAAATATCTGCATTCATGATGGTCGTAGGATCGTAGAGCCCCGGGCCGCTCATCACGGGTCTGCTCATGTACCTGGAACGAGGCACAGTGTGGGGTGACAGCCACAGGAACCCTGAGTCCTGCCCCACCCACCAGGGAATGCCACAACTGAGACAAGGAGTCCTCCCTTTACAGAGAAGCAATTCTATTCCCATGTCTCAAGGAATGGCAGAAGAGATTGAATTGCTACTTCAACTGGCATTCCACACTGGGAATTGTCTCAGTGCACCTCTGGCATGGCAGCGACTTCAACACACACAACTCAATCCTCACACAGCACAAGAGAATAAAAACCACCCCAGAAAGCCAGGAGATGGTTCTTATTGTACAGCCATCACCTGAACTTTCCCAGAAAGCATCTGGGTTTTCCCAAGACACAGAACACGGGACAGAAGACAGCAACAGGAGAATGAGTAACAATTCACTGAGCGCAACAGACTCGCCAAAATTACCTCCAAATATGATAAGCCAACAAGGGCATATTGAGAGCCAGTGTGAGCCACTCTGCTGCACAGAGAAACATGACACAGAAGAATGCATGGATGAGGTACTCTGGAAGTACAAGCTGGAAAAGAAAAAGGTGAGTTAGAAGTTTCGATTGCACAAAACAAAACGTGGCATTTCAGCTACTTTGGAGGCACACGATTGCTTAAAAATATTATTTAAAACCAACACTAACAAGAACAAGACTGTGGAACGTGAAAGCAGCAGCCAGCACTATGTGCCTTGCTGTTTTCACATGCTGTTCATGAACCAAGGAGAAAAATTTATTAGATTTAATGGTCAGATCAATATTTTTTTATTGCTTCTATTAAATTAACAGATTCCACGCTTTATGCATGACACTCAGAAGAGGTCACTGAGATATTTCTGCTCATGCAACAGAGAAATATCAGTAGGAAACATGCTCTGCAGAACAGTTTATAGGCAAAAAGAAGTTTGTGTTTTCCTGTTTTACAGCTTTGTTTTGGTCTTCACAGATCCAGAACTTTCCGAAGTTGAAATATTCCCAAAATGTAACACCCCAGGCAGAGCTTTACCCAACCAAACCAGCGGTGACGTGGTGGCACACACAGGTCTGCAGAGGAGCTGCCCTGAGCAGACAGTTGTCCCTCACAGGTTCCCACTGTGCATGCTTTACAGCATCATGCTTCCAGCAGAAGCCCACAGAGCTCAGTCCCAGGTACCACGGAATCACAGGAAGCATGGAATGCTGCATAGATTAGTGTTGTTAATAGGAACAACATGGAGAGGTACAGAGAGTAAACACATGCAAAGAGCTGCGAAATCTCACACCCAACACACGAGTTAAGTTTTATCCAAGTCACCCCAAAGTGTTGCTATTCACTGCTTTATTACCAGGAATGATACAAATCAGACTGGTTTGGGTTGGGAGGGACCTGAAAGCCCATCCAGTTCCACACCTTCCACTATCCCAAGCTGCTCCAAGCCCTGTCCAACCTGGCCTTGGACACTTCCAGGGATCCAGGAAGCCAAAGCTTCTCTGGGCACCCTGTGCCAGGGCCTCACCACACTCTCATTATGAAGAATTCCTTCCCAGTATCCCATCTATCCCTGCCCTCTGGCAGTGGGAGCCATTCCCTGGGTCCTGAGCCTCCATGCCTTGTCCCCAGTCCCTCTCCAGCTCTCCTGGAGCCCCTTCAGGCCCTGCCAGGGGCTCTGAGCTCTCCCTGGAGCCTTCTCCTCTCCAGGGGAACATTCCCAGCTCTCCCAGCCTGGCTCCAGAGCAGAAGCAGCAGACCTGTAAAGTTTTCACCTTCTCAACTCAGGCCCCATAGAACTCCTCCTCATGGAAAATACCCCATTTCTACCCAAAGGTTTAAATTGTCTACCTGTATGTGCATGTACACACACAACACATTCTGCTCTTCTTCAGTTAAAACTCCAGAATATCTTCCTAGAAATCTAAAAGCTACCTACAAACAACTCACCACCTACTTTCCTATGACATTCTAATTCTCTAAATGAAGAATATCAAACAAAGCGAAGTTGCATCAACACCACCAAAATTCAGCTGTTGTACACAAAATGTTTCAAGTAAATATTTTCATCCAGATCCTTCTTTGCATACTTACCATTTATACATGGCAATTATTTATAGCAGAACCACCCTGTCCAACACACGATGCATTTGGCAGCCTGCTCAGACAGATTCACCAGGCCTGAAAAATCTGTATTTATTTACCTACACATCTCAAAATGAGTTTTTCTTTTCTCTTGTTTATTATACCCCACTCCCACACCAGGATCCCTGCCTCTTTCTAATCTCCCCCACTTGATCCTCCCTGCCTGTCTTAGAGAAAAATGAATTACATCAGATCCTACCATATTTATCACAGAAGTGAGGGAGGATGGATCTGGTTGCTGAGAAAAGACATGACTATAACAGGAGCAGGGAAGAGAAGGAATCAGCAGTACTAAGGAGTTACTATTTTAGGCTAATCTTTCCACTGAGGTGCCTCAATTCCTACCAAGATATTTGGTTCTTTGCACAGGAAAACAACACACCCCTGTGTTTGTCCAGCACCACGTACCAGATCCCCTCAAGAGCCTGAACTTCACTTCTGGGGACTAGCCTGCTTCCACAGAACAGCAAATATGAGATTATTTCAGACTTTCAGTTGCAAAGCTGCCATGTAAAGGACACTCCATGCACGTGGGGCAGCAGAAGGTTAATATTCAGTTAAACATGCACATTTTTACACTACAAAGGTTGCAGTAAGGTCATAATGCATCAATGTAATGAGAGTTGGCCTCTCCCACACTGCAGCAGAGATGACTGGAACAGACCAAGCAAGGGAAACTGTTAGATGCACAGCTCTCCTAGCAGCAAACCTCCTCTCCTCCTCCCCTCCTCACACTGAAATATTCACTTTCATTTGTGTGCTGTACACATAACACCCTCTCCCCCACCCCCCAGTTACAGCAAATTTATTTTTTGTTGTGTATTTCACTTAGAACACACTAAAGCTACAGTTGAGGCCACACTGCTGTGCTGCCCCTGCATCCTCCCTCAGCCTGGGCACACACAAAGGCAAAGCCATAAGAAAGGCACAAAATGCTGCAGGATCAACCTCTGTGTTCTTTAACAAGCCTCCCTGATGCTGCTGGCCTGTCAGAGATGCAGGCAAATAGTTTGCCTCAAATTCTTTTCCTAAGCCAAGGAGTGTCTGAGTTGCATCCGAGAGAGGACACTGGGACACACCCCTGATCCTGGAACACAGAACAGAGAAGTGAGGATAGCACCTACCACCTTCCACTCACCCAAATGCTCAAAAAAAGATCAGAACTGACTTGGTCAATGCCTAAAACACCCTCAAGTATTCTCCTCTAATCTGAATTCAGTAAACCTGACTTGAAAAAACACAATTTATTTCTGCCTGAAGTTATTTTCTGACACCTAACAGGCATGTAACAGTTTTCCCCAAGTTGCTGGGTAAGCAAGCAGAATTGGTTTGGCACAAAATATGGAAATCTATGAGGCTGTTATAAACCCCAACGAACAAATAACGAGCAGATGAACAGGCAGACTAAACAAAACAGCTAAATAGTATTACAAATGTTCCTAACAAAATGAAAGGGAAGTTCAAAAACATGAAACTGAAAAGCAGTACACACCTTTAATGCAATTTTGACTCTTTTAATCTTTTTGACCTTTTCAACTGTCTTTG